CTCTTGAATCGTACGGTTGTACCTCTCAGCAGTACCATTTTGTTGAGGTGTTGCTGTGCATGACAATTGCTGTTCAACTCCAAGGTTGGCAAGAAAAGAGCGGAAAGAGTTAGACATGTACTCTCCTCCACGATCAGAACGAAAAATTTTGACCTTGAGACCCAACTGACGCTCAATATAAGGAAACCAGGACTGGATAACACCGGGAACTTCATCTTTAGATCCAAGAAGAGAGATCCAAGCAAATTTTGTATGATGGTCAATGAGTGACATTACATATCTTTTCCGGGTACGACTTGGTGTACGGGAAGGACCCATCAGGTCACTATGAATGAGCTCAAGCGGTTGAGAGACTTCAGACTCAGAAGAATAGAAAGGATGACGAGGAAGCTTAGCCTCAACACAAGTGTGGCACGATGACTGAGATGATGACAACTGCTTGGAGATGATAAGACCATCAACACTTGCATGTGCTTGCATGCGTGTGATGCTAGACTCTTCAGGGTGACCGTAACGACAATGCCAGGTGTAAGGAGATGCAGATGTACCAGGATGAAGTCTTACTGAGGTGGTGGTAGCAGCAACTGAGGGACTGCTGTAGGGCTTGGCAGGTGGCTGTGCATCAATCTCCACTCGATAGAGACGTCCATTACGAACACCTCTTGCAATGTGATGTCCAGTTGGAGCACGAACCTGCACAGAACCATCTGAGAAAGAGATGGAAATACCTTTCTCTTCCATTTGACCAATTGAGAGAAGGTTCGCCCCTAGTGAGGGGACAAGTAAAATGCCTGAGAATGACATATGAATTCCCTCTGGACTGAGAAATGTCATTGTTCCCTCTGCTTGAACTGGCACCGAATGGTTGCTGGCAACAACCACTTCTTTCACATTGGAGGGCTTGAGGCTGTGAAGGAGGGAGGCATGAGGGGTCATATGTTGATCACATCCACTATCCAAAAACCAAATCTTGGGATCCTGTGTAAATGCATGGAGACAAGAGGATGATGCAAATGCGAAACTCGGTGCATTCGATTGAGTAGAGTCTCTCTCATATGAAACGACTCCTATGGTGGCTTGAAGAGGCGCCTCTAGTGTGTGAGGTTGTGGCATAGAGGAAGCAAAGACATGGTTTTGATATGAGACTTGGGAAGCATTCTGAAAGAATGCCCCATGATGCGCACTGTCTGGTTGATTTTCTGGAGGGGTATGGGATGTAATAGCAATGGCGGCCCTTCCTTTGTCAGAAAGCAGAGATGAAGGTGGTGTCCAGTTCGCAGGACGTATGTTGCACTTGAACCAAGGATGTCCCCATTTATGACAATAATGACACTCAAATTGATACCTTGACTTTGGCTTATAAGGAATATGATTAGAGTATGATGCAAGCTAAGAAATATGACTTGGTGTGGGTTGTCCAAGAAGAGAGTGTGTTGGGGTTTGAGAGGACTTACCTTGCTGAAACTTGCTCTGTTGTTGAACACTTTGTTGAGGGCGATAGTTGGAACTTGTCATTCCACTCCATGCTGGTCCAGGATTTCTCTGAAGCTTTGCAAGTTCTCTTGTCTGATGTTCGGTGATGAGCGTGTTGAAGATGAAATCTCGGGTCCTTGTCTCCTCAGGAAAGGCTTGAATGGTGCTTCTCATAGTGCTCCATCCAGATGAAAGTCCGGCTAGAAGAATGGTGATGAAGAGAGATTCCGGGACCTCAATGTCGAGAAGTGTAGCTTCGTAAAGGACCATTTCACCACGTTGTAAGTAGTCGGGGATGGACTCACTCTCCCCCATGCGGAGAGAGACAATCTTGTTCCACACTTCTGCCTTAGAACCTTGGGAAATAGGTTGATGAAGACGTTTGAGCCGCTCCCAAGCAGCTCTGGCACTGTCCTTTTGAGTTGATACGAGGAGGAGGGGTTGAGAGTAGGGGTCTTGAATGGAAGAGAGGAGATAGAGATAAGCTTCAGCATTTTTCTTGATCCAGTTGCTCTGTTCTTGATCAGGTGCAGCAGTTGAAGGGGGAGTGTTTTGGCCGATGTAGATAGGCCAAAGATCAAGAAGAGTGGCGGCTTGTTGAAATCGGATGCTCCATGATGAAAAACCTTTGCCGTTGAAGCGTGGAAGCTCCAATTTGGGGACTAAGGAGGAGGTAAATGTAGATGTAGCAGGTGGTGTAGATGGAGATGATGTGTTGGTTGTAGGAGGTGCTGATTCGTTTGAAGAGTTTGTGGTTACAGCTGGTGAAGTTGATCCCATAGGAACACTTGAGTCCTTTTCATCCATGTTGGTAAATTAAAACTCCTGATACAATCAAACAATTTCACACAAGGAGAAGGGGAAATAGACAAACACACACACACAGACACACACATACACAAACACACAAAAACAAAAAAGGGGAAACACAAAAAGGAGGACCCAAAAGGGGGCGCAAGACCAAGTGCAAGGATGCCAAATGGCAAATAACGGGCTTAAAAAAACAAACTAGACAAGATGCGCACGGAAGAAACAGCAAAAAGGAATGAACTCGGGCTCTGATACCATCTTGAAATTGAAGTTATAGACGAGGGAGGGTAAATGGTAAGGAGAAAGAAAGAAAACACCTAGAAAGAAAAGGTAAGATCAAAGTAAAACCAAGTTGAAAAGCAAAAACAAGTTGAAAGGAAATCTTGAAGTATGGAGTAATTAAGAATGAAGAAAGTTTTGAAGGAGAAGATAGATAGACTTGATAGGGATAAAAGGGACCAAACAAGATTGGCTTAAAAGAAAGTATTGAAGAAAAGGTAAAGGGCTTGAAAGATACTTGAAAGGAACTTGTAACGAACTTGAGAATAAGAACTTGATTATTATGGAAAGAGCTTGAATATAAAACAACTTGATAATAGCAAATGAACTTTGATGTAAAAGAAACTTGGTGAAAAATGAGAGGAAGGGATAACCACTTACTTGAAAGGAGTTCTTACTATTATGTTGTAGAAGTTGATCTTCACTTCAAGCTTAAATGTTGTCTTAGTTGTTAATGAAGAACCTCAAAGCTTGAATGTTGAGAAGTTGATCTTGAATGTTGACTTGTAGATAATGTTTGTTGAATGAAGAGAAACCTCCAAGCTTGGATGTTGAGGTTGGAGCTTGGACCTTGGGTAGAAGAATACACCAATCTTGCTTGAAGCTTTAAAGTACATTAATCAAAGGGAGGTACATGGTAGGATCTTGAGATCAACTATCCTTGATGATCTAGAAGTAAAACTATGTGGCACAAACTTCTCTAGAATTGGAGCATATGGCTATGAGCTTGGGTTGGGAGAGGTTGGTGGTGATGATGAAGCCTTAGGAGCTGGAGCATAAGGAGGAGGACTTGAGGTTGGCCTTGAGGGAGTTTGAAGAACTTGTTGAGAGTTTGGGTATGAAGTAGCATTGAAGAATATTTTTTTGAAGAAATGAAGAGGACCCTTTTGTATTTGGTGGAGCTTGATGTTGGATGGAGGATGAGGAAAGGATGAATGGTTGTGATTGGTTGAGTTGGATAAGATGGGGGTGATGAATGTGGCCTTGAAGTGAAGGCTTGGTGAAGAGAATGAATGTGGCCTTGAAGTTAAGGCTTGGTGAATGGGATGTATTTGGCTTTGATTTTAAGGCTTGGTGAGTGGAATGAATGTGGCTTGGATTGGAAGGCTTGGTATGGAATCTTTTGTTTGATTGGTGGATAATGGGATGAGAAAGATGATGAGGATAGGAGGAGAGTTGAGGTGGAGGATTGATAGGTTTTGATTGGTAGGTTTTTGCTGTCTGGAGATAGGAAGGGTGTGGTGGCGAGTGGGCATTTTTGCAAGATGCCTTTTGCATATTCGGATTTTGGCTGACGGGGAAATTGCGGCGAAAAATTTCGCCACGTGAAATATTTCCCGCCACCCTGGTGCCACGCGAGCAGCAGCCACAGTTCACTGCAACACAATTCCCACCGCCAGCACCAGCGCTGTCGGCTGCAGCTGCTGCCGACAGTCTAGTAGCAGTGGCGCTGCAAGGGTTTCCCGCGAAATGAGAATGTCGGTTCTGTGGAGGCTGTGGGTTCGAGTATGGAAGACGCTTCATCGGCGTAACTCGAGCCATAACAGCGTGTTTGAAAGAAGCAGGCTCCGTGAACTTCACAGAAGCTGCGCGAACATGGTGGGCGGAGTCAGGCGAGGCGGCTGTGTTGGGGATATGGGGCCACGTTGCTGTCCTGGATTGAGTTTCTGATTTGAATTGGAGTGCGAGAGCAGCAGTCAAAGGTGACATTCGTGCAGCCAATTTGAGAAGCTGAAACTGGTGCAAATTGACGCCAGTAAATGAATAGCTTTGAATTTGCAAAAAATCCCTGAGGCGGACCGCGGGAGGCCGAACCGCGAAAAGCTCAGTGTGATTTCATGAGAATTCAACGGTAAACACATGCGTACAAGAAGACAACCTTTTCATGCATAAAACAAAATAGTAATCGAAGTGTACACCTGAAGATGGAGCACCCATAAGTGGGATAAAGGAGTTGTTGCTCATGATGTCAAACAATGGGGTATGGGTGCCCTACTTCAGTGCATCCAGGTGAGTGCCTACGTCAGATTCAGATTCAAGGGTCTTGATTTCTCTCATGTCCCCACACAGACTTTCAACGCCTTCAGCAGAAGTAGCAATTATATTTGCAATTACAGGATAACCAAAGGCACGCCCAGTTCCACTACCAACCCTGCACACACACCCACACACAACACCTAACCCCTCCCACCCTCACACACACACACACAACCTCTCTCAGCAGCATCAGGAAGCCTTAACTAATGCGCAACCAATTCTGAAAACCGTGCCAGTTGCAAGCCGCATCAGCAGCAGCAGCATTGACACAAGGGACCGCAGCATCAACAGAAGCGACAGCAGTGGAGGCATTACCAGAAGCAGAAGCAGCGTATCCAGTGTCTTGCCTGCCGCTGAAGAACCCCACTTCCGTGCTGCTACCATCACTTCCCATCTCCCCCTTAAATCATCGTTTCCGCGGTCTTGACGAACGAGCCAGCGCCCGCCTGCAGGGCACCCTTGGCGCCCTTGCCGCTGCTGTACGCGTTGACTGCAGCCGTGAGCGCCTCCTTGCCGCCATTCTTCACCACATTCTTCACGAACCCTCCCGCCTTCTGGCCCGCCTCGCTCTTCGCCGCCTCATTCGCCGCCTGCTTCACCTTCTTCCAGCTCAGCAGCACCCGCACCGCCTCGTCCAGCCCGTCCATCGCCTCTCCCACCTCCTCCTCCTCGCCACCCACGTCCAGGTCACCGCCGCTCGCTTCCAGCAGCTTGCGGCCCCAACTCGCCGCGTCCACGGGCGCGCTTCCCCCAGCAACGTCACCCCGCTGCTTTGGCGCAGCCGCGGCGTAGAGTGCGGGAAGTGTTGCGAGGACCAATGCGAGGATGAACACGGTGCGAAGAGTAGCCATGGTTACTGCCGCGATGGATTCTCGAGAGTAGCACTGCAAGTGATGATGAGGATGAGATGATTTGGGTGAATTTTCGAGAATTGAGAGAAGAAACTCAGTCGGGTGATGGTGAATGGTGGAGCGGAGGCAGTTTAAGTACTAACACGTCGAGGTGAGGGTGGTGGACGGAGAGCGTTAGCTGATCGTTACCCATAATAGTACCGCTTTCAGATGCTCGCGGGTTGCATGGCGCCCCCGCACAACACGCAACATGCCGCACAACTAGGTGTGTACGATATCAGTGAGGCTAATACCACCGCGTGTTGCGCTGGACTCCGATTCGAAGTTAGACGGCATCGCGGCAATAATGGCTGTCGGTCCATTAACGAGCCTCGCCAGGTCGCTAGCTTCGTGAATTTCGAAAGCTGCGACTAAAACGACTCGCCTGGAATGACGAAACTGGAAGAGTGAGGGTTCGGTGGGGGGAGAACAGTCTGTCGTCTGTACTGAAGCGGCAGAAACCTAGATCTCTCATTCCTGGGGCTCGCAGTTATTGCTCGATCATGGCGCCGCACAATGCGCAAGGGAGTTGGGGAGGGGATGGGATGGACATGCTAGGGCAGACGCAGATATGCACGGTGTGGACTGGGTTGGGTTGGGTCACGCTGGTTTGGATTGGGTTGAGAGCTCTCAGTGCGAGAGAGCTCCAAGGCTGGCGGCTGTGCGGCAATAATGTTCTCTGGTGGAAATATTATTGAAGCTGTGGAAAGAAACATGTAATAATACTTTCTATATAACTCTATCAGACTACCATACCACTTACTCTGTCAAGAACGTAATGTAGAAAAAAAAAAGAGTATGTCCGCCCAAAAACAATGGATGTCAAGCCAGCCTGCCTATCCATAAGGGTGCATGCAGTGCAAGGAGATTCTTGGAATTCACTAGTAACAATATGCTCTTGGGTGCTTCTTGTTGGGCTGAAAAGGCCCTTAGGATCTTTACAGGACAGAATTCAAGAGTAGGATGATGTAGTAGCGGAAGCATTTTAATAAAGACTTGTTGAACCACCTTGTACTGGTTTGTGAGAACAAAGTAAGTTAATAATAATAAGAAGATACAAGCTTTTATATGATTACAAGGAATATGAAAAGGTTCTATTTTAACTGCTTTGCTGTTGCGGTTCGATACAGTGCCGACTCGGGTAACTGCTCTGTAACGAGTCAGTTATATGTCCTTGCTGTCGCACTGTACACTTCGTCAGGTCAAAGGTCGCTGACCTTTGACTTTCGCGTAACCTCCAGCAGTTGTTCAACCTCCGAGGGTTGACTCACCGATGTTTCGATACGATCTGCTTCGCTCTTGTCTTAGTGTTTCGACACGGCAGAGGCGCTTAAATCAGTTGTTTCCAACACTTCTGGTACCGGTATTATGCCTCTAGCTAATGGGAATAGCAATCTTGACGCCTCGCCGCAGTCCTTGCCCACACTGCTCCCTAACGGGAATAGCAGTCTTGCCGGCATGGGCGGGCTTAACTTGAAAGAGACGCATGCCGAACTGCGAGGCGGATGTGAGCGGCACGGCATTGAAGAAGGCGCAGGTCTTGAAGGCAAATATATTTTTGAAGCGCTGCACGTCGTGCGTCTCGGCGAACCACTGGACGACTGGAAGTGGGGGAAGAGAAAAAAGGAGGGCAGGGGGAGTGAGTGGTAAATCTGGGGAAACCGAACTTGAGGTGTCTCAAAACCTGAAGAACACTGCAGGGAGAGGGTACAGGGAGTGAGCCAGGACAGACATGTGGGGATGGAGGGGAAAAGGGGGGAAGGTGATGGGGGGTTGGGGGTGAAGAAGGAGCAGGCTTAGAAGGCGAGGATGTTGCGGAAGCGTTGCACATCATGTGTCTCAGCGAATCACTGGAAGGCCGCAAAAAGGGAACAGAGGAAGAGTGGGCAGAGGAAACATGACTTGAAACGCTTCAAAACCTGAAGAATACTGGGAGTGAGCCATATGAGGCAGGAGAATTTCAATAAACATCTAGGGTTGGGGCAAAAAAGGGGGGTGGGGGACACTATTAGGGACGGCATGAAGGAAAGAGGGTAGGGGTGTAGTTTTGAGACGTCTCAAAAAGAGGGTAGGGGTGTATAGGAACGAGAGAGAGAGGGTGTCAGTGGGAACGAGGGAGGGGGAGAGGACGTATAGTCTGGTTAACACCCACAGTCCAGTGCGTGGTTTCCCTGCCCACGCCCTTGGTTCAGCCTAAGCGCACCCTACCAGCCTCCCATTCAACTCACCTATCCCACTAAACACCTCCATCCCACCCGCTTCTCACTCACCGAGAATTTCCCCTGGCTTGCCAGCCAGCGGCTTCCACAAGTTGACTCCCCTGCTCCAGTGGTTTCCTAAAACTTACTTGGTCCAGCCTCCCATTCGTATAATTTTTATGTCGACTCAAAAATCCCCTGCTCCAGTGGTTTCCTAAAACTTACTTGGTCCAGCCTCCCATTCGTATCATCCCATTCGTATCATTTTTGAGTCGACTCAAAAATCCCCTGCTCCAGTGGTTTCCTAAAACTTACTTGGTCCAGCCTCCCATTCGTATCATCCCATTCACTCACTTCCTCCAGCCCAGCCCCTCCTCACTCACCGAGAATGTCCCCCGGCTTCACAGCAGGCGGCTTCCACAAATTCACTCCCCCACTCCAGTGGCTCACTGGATTACCCTGCAGGAACCCGACCATCACCGGCAGGGGCTGTGGGGGAGAAAAGAGGGGGTGTGAGAGAGGAGGGAAGAGCATGAGAGGGGTGTAAAGGAGAACAAAATATCATGAGAAGCACACAGCCAAGGGCCGCTCGAAAAGCGTACAAAAGAGTGTTTTACGGGAATTGAAAGCATAGAGGGGCGCACAGAGAGTTACAAGAAAAGAGGCAGAAGCACAATCAAGTGTTTAATCAGTTCATACAATCGGTTTACAAAAAGTGTCACCGGGCAAAGAGTGCTTTTGCAGAACATGGTAAGTTGAGTCAGTAAAGTAGCATGAGATGATGCACAGCACATGGGGAATCGAGAGAGAGGAGAATTTACCTGGATGTACGCAACACATGCACGCACCACAAACAAAATAACACGGCGAAAGAGAGAATCAAGGGACCTTGCAAGAAAACAAGTCCAGATGCTTGCAAGAGACCGTAGCTGCTGAGCCTACCTGCCCTCAGGTGTTGCAGGTTGCTCTTCTCGACGCTGCTTCGTACACCTTCCCTGCCAGTGCTTCCACTGCCTCCATGCGACTCATTAGCACCTGCTGGTTACCCCTAGCTGCTGCACCTACCTGCTTTTGAGCAAGCATCATCACACGGGCCTTGTGAGTTGACACACAAGGCATCCCTTGAGACGTGTCTCAGGAGTACCACAGGGGAAGCACAGTACCTAGGCCCAGAGTGCTCTACCTCCAAGCCATTTCAATCGAACAAAACCTGAAGCAATGCGATCATGTAACCGTGTAACCAGCACTTACATGTCTCACCTATTCGCTGAGCATGTGCTGCCATTTGTTCTTCTCCTCCGCCTGCCGACTGTGGCTGAACCAAGTGAGCCCTCCTCCATACCATGACTGCTTCTGCTGGCAGTGGTAGCGGCGGAAGTAAAGGCACGCGATATCACTGACAACAGATTTTCCAGCAGTAGCAGCTATAGCAGACATGGTACTAGCAGCAGCAGCAGCAGCAGCAGCAGCAGCAGCAGCAGCAGCAGCAGCAGCAGCAGCAGCAGCAGCAGCAGCAGCAGCAGCAGCAGCAGCAGCAGCAGCAGCAGCAGCAGCAGCAGCAGCAGCAGAAGCAGAAGCAGCAACTGTAGAGGCTGTGGTGGTGGCGATGTTAGTAGCACCATGATGATTCGCCAAGGAGTGAGCTGCTGCACTACGGAAGGATGAGGATATAGAGTGGAGGGTTTCTCCCCATCCCTTCACCCTTCCTCCTCATCCCCTCCTAATTCTCTCCTTACTGTCCTTGGTATACACTTCCCACTCCCCTTCTCACTTCCTCCTTACGGAAACTTTATCACACTTCCCGCCCCAGCGCTTCAACTCAACTCACTCAAACCTAATCCCTCTTTGAGAACTCTCAAAACCATCCACCCTCCTCCCAGTAGCCCCACGACATCCGACTTGACTCACTACAACCTGTTACCCTTCTTCCCCTTTCTTCCCTCTCCCCAAACCTTTCCTCTCTGCCATCCCTCCACCAATCTCAGTGCTCTCTTTTGGTGCTGTCACCCCACTACCCCCCACTACCTCCCACTACCCTCCACTACCCCACCTCCCTCTTCATTACCCCCACTAGTATTATCAACGATCAGAAAAAGGGGAACACACAATAGCCTGGTGCGTGTGGTGAGTGTCTGGTGCGTGTGGTGTGGTGAGTGTCTGATGTGTGTAGTGAGTGCCTGGCGTGTGTGGTGAGTGACTGGCGTGTGTGGTGAGTGTCTGGTGCGTGTGGTGTGGTGAGTGTCTGATGTGTGTAGTGAGTGCCTGGCGTGTGTGGTGAGTGCCTGGCGTGTGTGGTGAGTGCCTGGCGTGTGTGGTGAGTGCCTGGCGTGTGTGGTGAGTGCCTGGCGTGTGTGGTGAGTGCCTGGCGTGTGTGGTGAGTGCCTGGCGTGTGTGGTGAGTGCGCAGTGCGTGTGGCGAGTGCCTGATACATGTCACATTCAAATTCAGAAGTGCAAGTTTCTTTTCATGACCCCATACTAACTTTCAACGCCTTCAGCAAAAGCATGGTAGCAAATATATTTGCGATTACAGAATAACCAAAGGAGCACCCAGCTCCACTACCAACCCTGCACAGCACACACGCCCAACTAACCCTTTCACCCCCACACACCACCTAACCCCTCCACCCCCCCACACACACATACCTCTCCCAGCAGCATCACCAAGACAGAACTATTAAGCAACCGATTCTGCAAACCGTGCCACTTGCAAGCTACATCAGCAGCAGCAGCAGCAGCAGAAGGGACCGCAGCAACAGCAGAAGCACCGACAGCAGTGGAGGCATTAGCAGCAGGAGGAGCAGCGAATGGAGTGCCTTGCCTGCCAGCAGAACCCCACTTCACCGAGCTGCTACCAGCAGCAGCAGGCACCATACCAGCTGCGCTGCTACCCTGCCTGCCGCTGCCCAACTGCACTCCGCTGTGCCTCTCACCCCTCCCATCTCCCATCTCCCATCTCCCATCTCCCATCTCCACTACCGAACGCCTGCAGCGCGCGAAACCTTGTGCGAGTCCATCCAGGCCGGCTTCACATACTTGCGCGGCTTCAAGACGCCTAAGTTCGGGTACCTCTTTGGGGGCTTCACACATTTGAGGCAATCATGCGTGTTCATATGCTTGATCTTCTGCCAGCTCAGCAGCACCCTCACCGCCTCGTCCAGCCCGTCGCCCGAAGCCTTGAGCGGCTTCTCAAGCTTCCAGACCGGCTTATCTGGCACATACTTCTTCAAGTTGCCTAAGTTCGGGTTCCTCTTCTCAACCATCTTCAAGACGCCTAAGTTCGGGTTCTGCTTCTTCATCCGCTCCCACACATCTGAGGCAAGCAGCACCCGCACCGCCTCGTCCAGCCCGTCCGTCGCCTCCCCCACCTCCTCCTCCTCGCCACCCACGTGCTCCACGTTCGCACCGCTGCTCGCTTCCAGCAGCTCGCGGCCCCTCCTCGCCGCCGCGTCGACGGCTGCGTTTCCCCCAGCAGTGACGTCGCCCCGCTGCTTTGGCGCAGCCGCGGCGTAGAGTGCGGGGAGTGAGGCGAGGACCAACGCGATGATGAACACGGTGCGAAGAGTGGTGATGCGAGGAGTAGCCATGGTAACGTGCGACTTTAGAGAGCGTCGGAGCGTCGAATTTCGAAAGTGGCAACACTGACGATGGCGAGCGATGATGAGGATGAGATGATGGGTGATTTCCAAGCACTGAGAGAAGAGACTCAGTCGGGTGATGGTGAATGGAGGAACGGAGGCAACTTAAGTACTAAGGAAAGACGTGGATGCGGGTGCGAAGGACGCGGAGGCGAGGGAGGTGGAGGGAGAGCTTCGGTTGCCCACCATGATGGTACCGCTTTCAGCAGCTCGCGGGTATTGCTTGCAAGAGGCTCGCCGCACAACGCGCGACATGGGGGAGAATATGGATCCGCACCGCGCAGCATGCGGCGGAAAAAGCGGTATCCGCACCGCGCGACATGCCGCGCAACTACTGTGTGTACGCGAGCAGAGTGAGGCTAATCCTACCACCGCGTGTTGCGGTGGACTCCAAATCGGAGTTGGACGGCAGCGCGGCAATAATGGATGGCGGTCTATTTCGTACAAAGAACCTCGCCATATAGCCAGCTTGGTATTTTTCGAGAGGTGGGACTAGCGAGACTTGTCTCCAAATGACGAAACTGGATGACAGAGAGCAGATCGCCGTCTCTCATACCTGCAGCTCGCAGTTATTGCTCACATAATTCCTGTAATGGCATGAGGCCGCACAATGCGCAAAGAGTTGTGAGGGATTGGTATTGCACGCCAGTAACGAGGACACCCGCTTTTAGCTCAGGGTGTGCTGGTTTTACTTCGGTTAGGCTGGGTTCGCTGGCGAGCTAAATGAAAGAAGGGTCTAAGCTCAATGGCAGCGCAGGAACAATCTTGTAAGGATTTACAAATCCTTACTGAGGAACTCGTTAGCGAGGAAATCCCGAGGGTCACTCAACGAACCTGTTGTTGGAAACAATTAGTTCTAGCGCCTCTGTCGTGTCGAAACACTAACTCAGAAGCAAAGCAGATCATATCGAAACATCAGCGAGTCAACCCTCGGAGGTTGAACAACTGCTGGAGGTTACGCGAAAGTCAAAGGTCAGCGACCTTTGACCTGACAAATACAGCGCGACAGCAAGGACAAACAACTGACTCGCTACTGAGCAGTTGCCCGAGTCGACACTGTATCGAACCGCAACAGCAACAGTAAAACGGTTATTAACCGTATCTCTCCATATTCTTTGTATCCTTATAAAAGCTTGTATCCTTTTGTTTTAATCAATCAACTTTGCCCTCACATACTAGCGCAAGGTGGTTCACAAGTCTTTTACTTAAACGCTTCCGCTATTACATTGTCCTACCCTTGAATTCTGTCCTGCAAAGATCCTAAGGGCTTTTTCAGCCCAACATGGTATGAGAGCAGTCAGGACAAATTCAACTACAACCAAGACATCTACAACATCACAAGACATGGCAACGCAGAAGGAGAGAAGCTCCTCTAACGGCTCTCCCGGTACTACTCCTACTCCACCTCCTGCCTCTGGCCTATAGACAGGGGAGGGAACGGCAACAAGACCCAGAGCAACGTCTTCAGAAACTCCCACGAATCAAGCCGCGGCCTTCGATCCAGACATGATGGAGAAGTTCTTCTCCTTCATGTCCTTCTACGAACAACATCAGCAAGGGGCACCTGCGCAATCAAACAACAGCAACAACAACAACGCAACACCAATGAGCCTCGACGGTTCATCCTACGCACGTGGAAATCAACAGCAACAGCCTACCTTTGCTCCGTACGAGCCCCAGCGTGGCTCCGTCAGCTTTATGCCACACCCGCAACCCGCATCTGGGCAAGAAAGGACACTGGACGCACTTCAAGTTCAGTCGCAGTTCGCGCACGTCTTAAAACTGCAAACGACAAGGCCTTTTGACGGAAAATACTTCTTTACCTGGTCATTCGAATTCTAGCTAATGATGGAAGGGGCGCAGATTCTTGGCTTCTTCGACGGGTCCCTGCCATATCCAACACACGGCACACAGTACGATAAGCAGCAGTACACGTATCGGTCAATGATGGCGTACACAATACTACTGAGAAATATCACTCCAAGTCAGCAGCAGAACATACGGTCTTACCGGGGATACGGCAACTCTGCAGAGCTCGCGTACAACCACCTGAAGAACCTGTATCAAGCAACAGACAGCGTAAATCAAAGTCGGTTAATGGCGCAACTGACGACAGTCGAAATGAAGCTAGGCGAAAAGGGGATGGCGTATATCAGCCGTTGTCGCGAATTGCGCGACAAACTCCTTCGATGCGGAGGATCGATTTCAGAAGACGCCTTCGTCACAGTCATCATCGGCGGCCTCGGTCCTCAGTGGCGCTCCACCCGCGCCATACTCCGAGCGCACGGAAAGATATCAGAAGCAGCACTTTGCGCCGAGATCCACGCTGAACAGCAAGATATGGACCTGCAAGAAGAACGACACAAAAGGAAGGCATCAGTGCCCGAATTCGCATTTCACACTCAACGGCGCAACAACAACAACAACTATCGGCATCAACCGAAACCAGTACCTCCGTTCTGTCACCTTTGTAAGACGTCAGGGCATTCCCGCACGCACTGCCCCAACCGACAACAGTCAGTACCAACGCAGCGGCAGTATCGGCCTTCAAGCAGTCAAGTCGCCTCAACGCAAGCGAATCCGACCTCTCAAGTACAAGCCTCAACAACATCGACGGGACAACCTGCGCAAGAAACAAGAAACATCGTCAGTTGCATGACACGGCTAACCGACTCCTGCATCACAGAGTCACCACCACATTACTCACCAGAAGAGCAACTCGACAACAGCATGCCTCGCCGCGAGTCACTTCAACCAGATCCGACATATGCAGCCATCGCTCAAAGCGAGCCGTCCGGAAAAGATACGTGGTTCTTAGACAGTTGCTGCGGACAGCATATGTGCTCTTCAGGGCGCTTTGTTCAACATGAACACCAACTTCAACGCGAGGTCGTCATCACCGTCGCCAACAATCAGAACCTGCGCACACGACGACAAGGCGTAGTGCAACTTCAGTCACGAGAAACAAACGTCATACTGCAGATGTCGAAGGTTTTAATAGCAGAAGGGCTCGGTTACAACCTACTGAGCGTCAGTCAACTGATGGCGAAGGGCATCCACCTCGAAGCAAATAGTACCACTCAGGAGTTCAAATTGTACCACGGGAAAGGCGGTCTCTACATCGGGAAGGCGGTCCTAAAAAACAACGTCTTCGTCCCAAATCTTGGCACTGCTGACAGCGACGGGATTGTCACTTTCACCTCTTGGACACATCCACCGGATCTTGACCCCGACTTTAGTCCAGAAGGCTTCTGGTACTCGCACACTATCCCTGAGGCAGAACGAACAAGAGCATTAGCAACAATTCAACACTCGGCAGCAGCAGAGACAACATGGACAACAGCAAATACAGCATCAGCAGCAGCAGAAACAACAGCAGTAGCAGCAGCAACATTGACGCCAATCGCTGGTCCTTCAACTACATCAACTCAAATTGACGGCACTCCACCGACTCTTGCGCAGCAGCTTAACCCAACATCACGAGAAGTACATCGAAGTGCAAACCTCACCGCAAGCTTCTACTCCAACTCCGACTTGTATCGTCGCTCACCCGGACATCGCACTAGCGAAGACATCTGGCACGCACGAATGGGACATCCAAGCAACATAGTGTTAAACAACACAATCAGATCAGGAGTACTCGACAAAGACTCACTGCTTTTAACCGATGGAAGCGAACTTCGACGACCTCGTGGAACGTGCTTTAATTGCCCCGAAGCTGACTTACCACATCGGCCATTCACTTCTCACCACAACCCCAGCGCTCCAGCTTACGCACCACTTGAGAAAGTTTACAGCGACATCCTGTACAATCGCGAACCTGGACAAGGAGCATACAGCTACACCATCACATTCATCGATGCCGCTACACGTTACGTTTGGCACCTTAATCTTCCGAGCAAGGACATGGCTTTCGAAGCCTTCGTCGCTTGGCTCCCAGTAGCAGAACGAGAATCGGGCGTGAAACTGAAAAGCTTTCAGTCTGACGGAGGAGGAGAATACACCTCACCGAGGTTCAAGCAGTTCTTGGCAGAAAGAGGAATCAAGAGGCTCATCTCGCTTCCTTACGCCCATCAACAGCAAGGCGTGGCGGAACGGATGAATCGAACTCTCCAGAACACCATGCGCAAATTACTGCGTGGCATGCGACTGCCCAATCACCAGTGGCCTGAAGCGATGGACCACGCTGTCATGCTGCACAACTTGCTTTCGTCGTCGTCACTACCGAACAACGCATCACCGCACCTGCTGTGGACAGGAAAACAGGGCAGCACAAAAATGTTAAGGGTTTTCGGCTTCATGGTACAATACCGACCCCCATCTGCACGAGCCGGCCGATTTTCCCAACGCGCGCAGTGGGGACTACACCTGGGCATCGAAATAAATTACAACGCGTGGAAGATTTTTTACGTCCCCTCCAAAGAAACAGTAGCAGCACGTGATGTCATTTTCTACGAACGACTCACCCTTCCGACATATCTTGCCAACCTGGAAGAAGATCGGGATCCCATAGGTGGCTTCCGTGGTGACCGACACTTCGCCTCGGCAGCAGACGAAGCTGACTGGGACGAGCAGAACGTGGATAACGCCTCGGAAGAAGCAGGACCACTCCCATACTGCTTCGTGCCTATCCCGATGGACGACGAAAATCCTCGCGAAAGCGTCAACGCCGAAACTTATTTTAACTTCGCCGACAATGGTTACGTTACACCTGCAGAAGTAAGCACCAACGAAGCAAAACGCATAGGGCCCGACTTCATACCTGACCCAGAAACAGGTGACGAAGCAGCTTATCCCGCGGACACAACTCTCCCCCGCTACACAGAGAGTGGCCTTCAGATACTCGGCCTAGTCACCGCGGTCCACGGCACCGAAGCTCCTAAGGAGCCTGCCACAGTTCAACAGGCTCTGGGGGGGGAACACAGGGAAAAATGGCGTGAAGCCATGGA